CCCACCCGCCTCGCCCTTCGGTCGGCATCGATGGATTTCCAGTTACGAGGATCCGCTGTCCGCTGGTCTCGAACGGAGAGGCACGAAATAAGCGAGCAAAGAATGTAGGCGCAGTTGGTCCTCTACCCTCTGCGGACTAACTGAGGAACATTCTATGATTTCAAAAAGATTTTTTACGGGAAGCCGAATTATTTTTTCGCCGGATTCTTGTAAGCGTACGCTTTTCGGTGCTCCCTCAATATATAACGTTGCCATTCATTCTCTTTAAATTCTTAAGTAAAACGATGGTTTTGTTAATGAGAATTTTTTGTACGGTTCAAGTTTCTAAGGGTTATGTAGGTAAATTCTCAGAGCTTACCTTAATATCACCTGAAGGGAAGGTATGATTCTTAAACGTGATTTTAAAAAAATGCAATTTCGTTGTCTTCAAGCTCTTTTACTAGGATTGTATTCATATTAAGTCCTGCAAACCCCTTATTACTTTTCTTACTTATAACACAGTGAGGGGAAGAAAAGTATTACAATAATCTCAACAATATAATCTCGAATATATGTTCTTTCAGCTCTAACTTTGCACACACGTAAGGATTAAGCGGTGTTCCAAGTACGCTGTTCCAAATATGCTATAGATCAGTGAAAATTGAAAGGATATGCATGCATGCAAAATGTTTTGTGTGCTTTGGATGTGTCATGCCTAACTCTGCGGCGTTAGAAGGTTTTGAGCCGAAACTTGGAAAATACCTCAGGAGTAAGATCTTGTTGTGCCGTTTCGGAGATCATTAAGATATTTTAATTATTGCTGTTTCTTTACATGAAGATCCTATAACGTTTTCAACATTTTCTGAAAAATATCTGAAACTTTTTTCATGGATTTTGTTTTTGCTCGAGTTGAAGAAAGTGCTATTACTTGTATAAGAATAGTTTAGTTAAATTAAAATTTTCATTAAAATCTCATCCATTTACAAACTTTTAGACATCTTTTATTTCACACACATTTCGATTAAAAAGTGATTTGAGATTCTCACATGACCATATTTCGTGATTTTGCTTTAAATGAAAGGTATAAGGCCCCTAGATGTTTTATCGCCTGTTGTTATTAAACGGTTTTGTAATATAAACTCTAAAATTTAATAAAATCATGAAATTAATAGAATGAGCACTTATCTGCCATAATTTGATCATTATTTCACATTATTAATATTTCACTATTAAAAGTAATGTGAGAAAACATGCCAGTGTATGATTGTTAGAGAAGCTAATCGACAGAGTTTTCTTAAGTTCCAGGAGTGTTTTTTAGTACAAAAATTATTATTGAAGTATGGTTGAGGTGTACATAAATGCAAAGTTCAGCACCCGTCAGACACTTATTATCTTTTCCACGCACCTAAAAAATTCAATGATTACAATAGTATGTGCGGTATTTCTTTTTAAGGTCACTTAAACTCAGGATTTCTTTGCCTATTTCATTGCAACATACATGTTCAGATCACGATAAATATAAATCTTTTCGATCACATTTTTAGGAACATGCTGAACTCTTTGTTCACAGTGAATAGTGTATTGTTCCTGAATCGGTAAATCCCTCTCATTTCATAGATACTTAATACTGAACGATAAGAAACAATTGTTCGGTTTTTTATTATCCTTACTGTGATAATGTATAACTTTTGAAGCATCACATCCCGAATCTGAGGCGTGCATCCTTGCAGTTCGAAATTTTATTTTTCTTCCAGCATTCAAATTCTTTTGATGCGGCTGGTTTGCGGTTTGAAGAGCTATATATTACATTGGCGACCTCATTCTCTCAGGAAAAATTGCACTTATTGCATCGTTGTTGAAATTCAAGTAGAATATTGCAATAAGCTTTAAATAATGCAACATTTGCCGGTCAAATTTGTAGTTCATCTGAACGAAGCTAATGCTTCATCTGAAGCTAAAAATATCCCCCAATCTTTGTGATACTGATGCGTATTCACGTGTTACATTAGTCATTGTCCTTTCTTGTTGAACATACAATCATCATTTACATCAAAATATTATTCTAAAGGCCTTTAGTGATCTCCATTGATTGACTCTTACATTTGGGGGCGAGGTATTTTCAGTGATGAAGTATGGAAGCAACAAGTTCAGAATTAGTTTCAAAAGTTCCGAATCTCTTACAAACTCATTCAATTCACTTCAGTTTCTTTGTGTGAATGAGATGCGTGAAATGGGAGTTCTGAGAGGTAGATGGTTCGGAAACATTTCTAGTCGAACTAGCGCTGGATGGTAACCTCTTAGCCAGAATAGGAGTAATACACTAAAGAACTTAAGTGATACTTAAAGAGAGAGTCCATCAGTGTGGACAAATAACAAGGTACAGTTCGGTAATTTACATGAATATCCTTTGGAATGAACTAGACATGTGACAACACAGGCAAGTAACAATATATTTACCTAATTGCTGTATTATCTACAATGGGAAGTCTCCCA